TTTTTTTTTTTACACTTAACTACCAATTTAAATGAAAAACTAAAGAAACAAAGGTAGAAATAAAACTGATAAATACTAAGTATTGTAAATATGAACTTATTAAATAAAGGAAATTCTTTTTAAAAACTGTTATTCTACTTAACAATGATGTTTGAGCATCTGCTCTTCACCAGGTTTGATATGATCACAAGCACAAAAAGATCCTTTGCTGAACATCTGCCAGTGATTAGAATTTTTAGAATTATAGTGGTCATTTTTTAATGCGCAACAATTCTGACTTTTGTATAATTGATATTTTTTGGGTGTTATTTAGTGGACTAAAAATATGTACAGCTTCAAGTATTGTTTCATTCTGCTGTGTCCACCATGGGGAATGAAACCCTGGGTTTTTGGCATTGTAAGTCCGTAAACTTACTGCCGTCCCTCCAGAGGACCCAGCTTCAAGTAACGATAAATACTTTAAGGTAGCCCTAATTAAATTGTTCCTATCTTCAGAGGTAAGGTGTTGTTAATTCTTTTTGGATATTAATGTATCTTAAACATAAGCTATCATATATTAATTTGTTTTTCAATCCTAAAAAAAAACAAACTACAAACTGCTAAGAATTAAAAATATAAATACCCCTTGCTTCTTATTTGTAAGCTGGATGGTTGTTTTACTTAGAAACTAAGACTATAAACTGAACTGGATCAAACTTAATGGCTTATTTCAAAAAACAATAATCAACAAAATTAATAGAGCAAAGCATTTAATACAGTACATTTAAAAAGGAATGACAAATATTTAATATATATATTTATTTCAGTTTATTAGTAAATCAACTAGTCTAGCAAAAGTGTACTATTTCAAATGTGAATTTCATATTTATTTATTATAAATTTTCCACAGACCCTAAACTGAACATGGATGTTGACTTTCAAGGTCACATTGGCACAAAAGTCCAATACATCAGAGGACTGGATAGGTATGCAATTCTAGTTTCTTCAATAGTCTTCATCATTAAAACAACCATTGATTTTTGAGATGTGACTAAAAACTAACGAACTTTCGGCTTTTGTATCTTCATCAACTTGAAATCCTTGTTTGTTTAACTATTAATGAAAACAGAAGATTTGCCCAGTTTCACTGAAATGGCTTTTTTTTTTTAAGATGAAAGTTTTTTTTTCTGTAATCTTAGTCTTCCTTTGTGAATGGGGCTTTGGTATGAATTAAACTTGGACAAAGGTCCACAGAATTTGCTGTCTTAAAATTACCGGTGTGATTTATTCTGCTTCTAAAGAGAACACTGAAGCTTCCCTCTTCAAAATGCTATGTAGTCCTTTTGGTTATACATTGTTAAACAATCTCGCTATATGAACATCCTTCCTAGGACAGGACTGTTGCAAAACTAAAGGCATAAATCTACCCATGGTGGCATTGCATCATTCAGTGCTTATGAATATACATTAGAACAAATATGTGTGAGATAAATCAACTGATGATATTATATCTGCGGTAACATGCATACTGTTTTAAAAAATTTAATTATCCATCTGTTTCGATAGGCTCATTTCTTCTTTTGAAATTGATTACTGTTACTAAAGTAATAAAAATTAAGTTTATAAGTGGTAGAATGCTTATATGATATAAATCAGTTGGGTACAAATACTAATTTATATCTGGCATAAGAGAGATTTTTACAAATTGTATAACAAAAGTGTTTTACTATGTGTGTGTATCATGCTTTTCCACTAAACTTTGGTGTGCATCTTTTTATGTACCATTCATCATGCTTATTTTAAAATCAGAAAAACATATGCACCTAATTCATTATGACAAAGTGTATCACTTAGCTGTAGTGTTCCCAAGTTTGATTCAGATTTCATCATTGACTCCTTGTTCTCGTTTTGCTCTCTGCTGGAAAAGGGTTTAAAAAAAAGTGGTGATTGAGTTCAACAATTCTTATTTTCTCAAAAAATAAAATGACACCAAACAAGCATCAAAAATATTTTTACTTTGTAAAATTTCTCCAAATGTTTCATATTATAGATAAATAATAAAACTAATGAATACTACAGAAACAAGTTTTAATTTTGAACATTACTTTTACAATTAAAGTAGAGCAGGAAATGCAAAAAATTTTGTTGTTTTTTATATTAGTATTTGAATGTTAAGGCCAATGAAACTGTATATTTTATTGCATCCTAGCAAACCAAAAACAACAACAAATAACAGTAAAGACAAACACACTTTCTTCGCCATTGGTTGAATGGTTCCTCAGGAGTTTGGGGGATAGAAGGACTTTGGAGTTTGTACTGAGGAGGAGATAAGTGGTTGCCAATAGAATGTCTTCGGCTTTTCCTTCGATCATTGTCATCAGGATAAGACTTTCTGCTACGTGGGACTTGTCTGTGAAAAAAAAAGGTTAAATGAAATAAACTTGTAAAAATTACTACGTATAAAATATTAAAATGTGCATCAAAAGTACCTGAGAATTATAACAAAAGCAAAACCTTTAGAAATCTATTTTTCTTCATGTCCTTTCAGGATGCATGCCTGTCTAAATATTTTAGTTTCATCCTAAGCACATATCAAAAATTATTGTGGCAAAAGAAAGCTGAGAAAATGTGTGCATATCTTATTTATAATGAGTTTAGTTTTTATGAAAAATGTTACACAATCAGAAGAAAGAAGTAAAAATTTTTGATATTAAATAAAGTATTAACAAATAGTGTGAAAATATAACAAACTCAAGTTTTCATGGTATTGTAACTCAATAAATATAAGTTATATTTAAAAAATAAATATATTCATTAATAATAAAACTATAACATGCACAACAGTTTTTACTTACATGTTGAAAAGTACAAGTTAATCTGTAAGTTTTTGTCTTCTTAGTGTTTTCCATGGTTTTTTTAAGAAATCACTAAAATACTTTAATCTTTAGGGCATGCTATCATATAAAACATTTGAAAATCAACTAACCAAATACCAACACGTTTTTACTAATTTTCATAAAACACATAGAGGTAATAAAATGGTAATTATGCATAACTAGCAGAGTACCCAGCACTGCCCAGATGAAAATGGTTTTAAATATCCTGAGTTGTTTTTATTAAATCAACCATATTAATTATGATTTTTTTACCTAATTAAATATTTTGTTTAAAATAAATAAAAATTTGCTAAAGCTGTTTTAATCAAAGCAAAACCGGGTACATTGTTCCTGCTTCTTGCATGTGCTTTACATGACATTTCAAGTTTCCAAAACAAAATTCTCTACCTTTTGATGTCCCGATTTCTGCTGGGTGATCAAGTGTCGTTTCCAGTGTATTCTGATTTTATTATTGTTCCATTTAATGAAGAATTGATTTATTCTCTTCTTGTTGCAACACAACGTAAATTAAAATATACCGATACCAAACGTTTTTGTAAAGTCATCGTATAGGTGATTCTTGCGAGTACACGTAAGCAAAGAAAAATATATGGCTGAAGGAAGTAAGCCTATTTAGTTGAGGGAGTGTGCACGCATGTTCGAGAGAAAGCACTAGCTTTGTTCAGTTAAGGAGAGTTGGAAAGTAGGTATGTACGTATAGAAGAAAGAGAGAAGGAGGGAAAAAGCACAATGAAGGCTTCACAAAGTTTTTAACTCGTTTTAACACATAATTGATCATGGATAGAATGATTAGAAGTCCTCACACGGAGAAGAAACGTAAATAATAGCCTTCTTGATTATGCATTACCAAAAAAATCCAGTCTTTTCAATCTGAGATCAACCGATCATCCTGTTTGTCAAGCATTGCTATATTGTTCACTTTAGCCTAAATTTGTGGCCTCAAAAAAGCCTCTGATGCTATGGCTACATAGCCCATGTTACTTCCGACACAAAGTTGTATCTGTAACCCCAAGATTGAAGTTTGTAGCTTTAAAGATGTGACCGTGCATAAGGAACAGAACCACAGAGAGAGAGGGAGACATTCTCACTTATATAGATTAAACAAGAAGCACCATTAAGTCATAAAATATGCAAGCCATAGGACTAAAATATTCTACAATCACAAGTACAGGAATGAACAGAATCAGAACCAAGTAAGAACAATATGATGAAAATAAAAATGGGTATAATAACATTCTCAGTGCAGTAGCTCATTCTATCATTTACATCAAACAAATATGGACTGTAATTATACAAGCTCCTCATTATTATATACCTGATCAATCGTTGATCAACAGGCAATGTTTTACCATCATACTCTCCATCTTCGTGTCTTAGGACAGCCTGGAAGAAAACAATTTATAAGATAGGAACTCACAAACATTGAACACTTTAAATTAACACTAAACTGTTACCTGTAATAAATACTGAATTGCTTCTTAATATTTTGTGAGACAAGGAACCGTAACTGTTGAAACACTTATGTCACCCTGTATGTTTTACAATGTTTAAAAAAATATACTTATAATGCATTATGTCCAGTGTAATTATAGTGTCAGTTGAAACTCAGTTTAGAATTGATTAAAAGCTTTTACTGATAAATGTATTTGTTCTTTTGTGAAACCAATACGAATTTAAAGAAAAAACTGTTGGACCTAGCTTCTGGATCATAAATATTCAGTGTTTCGTTTTTATAGATTATAAATTATCAGCTTAATCCATTCAGTCATAAATTTTATTTATAATAAATGATCATAATAAAGTCATATAACAATGAGTGAAATAGCATGAAAGATGCACGTATGTTTGTAAACATGAACATGAGTATCAAGAACATATAAAATTACTCTCTACTTTCTGTTCTCAAGCATACAGTGATTAAACGATTAAAATACTGTTTTCAGTATTAATGCAGTACTGTGCTAAAAAAAATAGTTAAGATATATTGTTGCACATGTACCAGTAGTGAGTTTCTATTTTTATAAAATATTTATTAGACAATAAAGGAAAGTTTCAGTTAAAATGTGTTGAAATATATTGCATTAACATTTTCTGCTGAAGTTTTGTGTGTTTAATTGACAGTTGTTCAAATCTTTGTTGTTTTATATTTTTACAGACTTTAAATGGAATTCCAGATCAAGACACATATTACGACATTGTGGATTCACTAGAAGAACAAGGTATGGAGAAAATGATACAGTATTACATGTCCAAACAGGGCACAGATTTAGACTTGCTGCACCAGTTTCAGATATACGAGGTAACTCATATTTTAATCTCCAAAAGTCAAAAAATAAGCTATCAATGACTATGTGTGGTACTATTGCCGAGTATGGATTTCCAATAAATAACTGAGAATGGGAATTGTACTAAATCATATAACACCATATTTACTTGATATTGTAAGTATCAACATGTTTCATTCTTTGACTTCCAAAGTAAAATACCATTGTAACAGTACTATCCATATTTATGATTTATTTTTGTATAGTACATTTGATGTACCATAAAATGGGGCAATTAAGGACAGATCTTTCCAAATGGCAACACATCCCTGGCTCTTAGTTCTTAGCTATGGCTTGAAGATAAATAAAAGTGTTGAACAGGTGGCTCAGTTGTAACTCAATAATGTAGTCCAACTGGATCTCACAGGAACATAATATACTCAATACTATAGTCTAACTGGATCTCACAGGAACATAATATACTCAATACTGCAGTCCAACTGGATCTCACAGGAACATAATATACTCAATACTGTAGTTCAATTGAATTTCACAGGAACATAATATACTCAATACTGTAGTCCAACTGAATCTTACAGGAACATAATATACTCAATACTGTAGTCCAACTGAATCTTACAGGAACATAATATACTCAATACTGTAGTCCAACTGGATCTCACAGGAACATAATATACTCAATACTGTAGTCTAACTGGATCTCACAGGAACATAATATACTCAATACTGTAGTCCAACTGGATCTCACAGGAACATAATATACTCAATACTGTAGTCCAACTGGATCTCACAGGAACATAATATACTCAATACTGTAGTCCAACTGGATCTCACAATTACATAATATACTCAATACTGTAGTCTAACTGGATCTCACAATTACATAATATACTCAATACTGTAGTCCAACTGGATCTCACAATTACATAATATACTCAATACTGTAGTCCAACTGGATCTCACAGGAACATAATAGGGCCCAGGATTTTTTTTAAATTATCCCTAACATAGGGGACAAACATTAAGAATTACCAAAAGTCCCTTTTTCTCCAACATTGAGAGACATAGACAACCAAAATGTGTTTGAAAAGCCAGAAAAGATTACAAAATGAGCATGTTGCATGTTATATATTTAACAATAATGAGTATAAAACATCTACTGGACACCAAATGTTTGAAAAGAAGGTAAACAGGAGCAAGTTAATAATATAGATATCAGACATGATAAAAAG